GACCTGCTCCCTGTGCTGCAGCCCACGTGCACTGTTAGAAAAGCAGCGACTGTGTTGGTTTTTCCTGTTTGTGTCACGCAGAACCTTTGATGTGTATTGCTCAGAAGTTAGTTGCTACAGCACCCATCCTTCATTCTCTTGTCATGCCCTCTCCTATCACAGTAAGACTCATGAGGTGAAGAAGCAGTTGGGTTTTTTGTTGAAGTTTTACCACAAAAGATTTAGTCTCATCCTTTACTGTTTTTATCTTGTATAATATATTCTAACCACAAGTTTGAAAATGTACCTCTTTCTGAAGAATTGCAGCAGAGCTTGGTGCAGTTTTAGAAAGTTTACAGATGTGCCACTGGGATTTGCTGAGCTTTTGTGCTTAATAATTTAAATATTGCTATTTCTGAAAATTTTATAGACCTTGGGCTTGAGGCCCCTGGGATCATCTGATCTGACCTGCATATGAATCATAAGCAAGTAACTTGCATAAGTTATTCTTAAATTGAGCCCAAATACTCATGCTGGACTAAAGCCCAAAGATGTTTGGCTGAAGCAATCTTCTCAAAAAGGAAAACATCAAGATAAGTTGAGTGCGTGTTCCTTGGGTGTGGAGCTTCACTGCCTGATTGTCCTCCCTCTTTTATCATCCAAGGTCATAATTAAGATCTTTCTTTCTGCTTTCATTTTCCACTGTTTTTGTTATATTGTGTGCTAGATTGGAGAGAGCTTTCAGTAGATATCAAGTTTTATGTGAAAAGCAGACACCTCATAGTTTTCCTTTTTCTTCAGCTGTAGTATCAATACTCTAAATTGAAGGCATTTTCAGCAGTCTGTCACTCTGGAAGCTCACCTCTACACTCATCTAAATTTTATTCTTATTCTTTGCTCTTTAAAAAGTGCAAGCTGAGGCTGTGTTCAGTTAACAAGACACAAATCGTGGATTGGCGATCAGTAATGTGTTTTAAGATCTTGCTTTGAGATTTAAAATCTTGCCTGGGCTTTAGCCCAAGTCTGAAGCCAAACTGTTTTACAGTTTGCTTCTTTTTATGGCCATATTTGAATGCAGCTGCTGTAGCTTTAGGACTTAAGTGTCTCATAGTGTACAGGATGAATCTTGTTGGGGTCTTCTGGTGGTTGTCTTTAACTTCAGCACAGTTATGTACCAAATTAAGTTATATGCACAATCTACACTTTTTTTTTTTCTCAGAGTGATTTTATTTTGATGTGATGCATCAAAATGGCCATTATAAAAACTGTTAATATGGTTGCTGCTAAGCAAATAAGAGAATGCAATCTTGAGTACATTTGCCTGCATTTGTGTCTATTTTTGTCCAAATCCTCCAAAATTGTGTGAATTCTGTTAGACACATGATCTCTTATTTCAAGTGTGTGTGAGTCTGACTTTGCTTTGGCTAACCAAAAATTAGGTTTAATTTAAATATGCAACTATCAGCCAGTCTACAGATATAGATATGTGCCTGTGTACATGTATTTAAAGACACAAACCTTTGGTTCCTAATCTTTAGAAGACAAAAGCCGTGAAATTTTCATGGGGTACCTTTAGTAATGAAAAAAAAAAAAAAAAAGGCAAAAACCAAAACAAACTTGGAAAAGATATAGAAAAGCATTCTAATTCTGTTTAACAGAAAGGAAAGATTTGGACAATCTACGAGACCATGGCTTTTTCTGTTTTGGAGTGCTGGATAACTCTTGGAAGAAGTACCCACTGTTATTTCATTTGAAGGCTGTGATGAGTTGCAGAGCGGACTGATAGTAATGAAGAACATTTTTGTGCAGGTTTTGAGACTTAAAATTCTGGCTTTCATTTTTCTCTCTTTTGAATAATAGGCTATTACTTGTGTGAGTTTAAATCTCTTTTTATCTTTGTATGTTTCATAACAAAATCGGTAAACCTTTCCAGTTATGGCTGGTTTTCATGGTACTTTTCAAATACTAAAGAAAGAACTAGTAATAACTAAATGACTAAAGAAAGAACTATTAATAACTGAAAGAACTAGTAGTAACACAAAAGAAGTATGAATATCCTATTTTCTTTAGGATGGAGTTAACCTTTTTTATGGATAATGCACCTTTCCTTTGGTGATGAGTTACTAGCTTTAGATATTTGTGTATCATTTCTGTAATGTGTTTTGTAGTGACAAATCGGTCAGGAGTTATTGTCATATTCAAAAAGACATTTGTTTTAATGTTGTACAATGAATTAAGACATCTGAGAGCCACCAGAGACTGAAATGTTACATGTTGTGAATGATTCGTTGTAATGCTCCAGTGTGCCAGCAGTGGTGGTCTGGAGTGATGTGGTGCTACAAGTGGGATGCTTGGATTTGCCTAACCCTTTTTCCTGGAGGAGCTGGGAGGGGCCCAGTTGCAGGTGCACACCAAGCAGTGCTTGCTTCTGCCTTCAAGACCTGTGCTGTTCATCAGAGGGTGTGGGGAGCCAGCCCCTCTCAGCAGCATCTGTCCCCTTCTGCCACGTTGTGCTGGGTAAAACAGGCTTTGCCTTTGCCCATAACCATGTTCTCCTCTCCGAGTTCTGTGCAGGCAGTTTGAGAAGGACAGATGGATGTGTTGGTCGTTGCTGTTGCTGGGGAGGATGTGAGAGAAGGGATGTGGAGAGAGGAGCATGTGTGCTGCTCTGTAGGGTTCAGTGGTGGGAAGGAGCCACAGTTGCTCCCTGGTTGTGGACCATTGGCTCTGCCAAGATAATTAAAAATCCCTGGACTGTTCTCTGCAGCTGCTGAGATGGTGTTTTGCTGGCCTTCTTTCACCTCCTGTCAGAAGAATAACAGTTTGTGTAAGAGACAGTGCATTTTGGTAGTTCATGCTTTTTTCAGACAGACTTTTAAGTCCTCTGTTGGTTTACTGCTTCTGCAGAATAGCACCTTGTAACACAAACATCTTTGGGAGATGCGACTTGACTGTAAGATGTGGCAATTGGTTTTCCTTTCTTTTCAGCCCTGCAAACAAACTGTGAGCCTGTACCAAGTTGTTATTTTTGCTCAAGTAGATAATTTTCTAGGCTTGAAAGCAAGAAGTGCTTTTCTGGTTTTCTGTGTTTTGCAAGCTGGATTCAGTTTTGTGTTCCTGATCCTATTTTATTGACTGAATTTGCACTTGTGTACTTTGAAATGGTCGCAGAAAAAATATCTGTAGTGTTTTAAAAAAGAAAGGGCTCCTTTTTTTTTTTTTTCTGGTGATGTATTGTGCTGAAAAAAGATTAAGAGGTTGACAAAAGATAATATATTTTGCATTTTTAAGTGCTGATTACTCTGCATGTAAGGAAAAACATCTTGAATACAGCTTAACAGAAAAACCATCCTGAAATGGAAAACAGTCTATACCAGCATTGTCTATGTCAATGGGTGATTATTTTTTTCTTCTGTATGTCTGAATAAGATGCATAGAGTAACATGAAAACATTCTAGTTCATAGTTCCTTGAAGTCAGAACTCCTAACATAAGATGACATTCTTAGGATCTTCTCCAAACTTGTCTGTGATTTTTGGGACAATCAAAATAGCTTTCCCTTGAAATCCCTAGATTCTCTTTCCTTTTTGGCATGGATGATAATGATAATAGTAATAAGAAGACCATTTGCAATGGAGAAGTTGCACTTCTGCATTTCTCAGTTCTTCCTTGTAGAAAGAAGATCAGGTATTTTCCAGAAGCTGCGCCCAGGTTTCCAGCAGCATGTCAGGCTGCTCATCTCATGGGCTACAGAATGCAGGGAGGTGAAAAGGAAACCAAGAGAGCATGAAATGGAAAAATACAAATAGAACGTGCATTTGTAAAGAGGTGTGTGGTGAGGAGGAAAATGCAGGAAAGTGGAAGACCTAGTAAATTATTAAATAAAAGGGCAAGGAGAGCAGGGAAAGGAAAAGCTACAGGGAAAGCTGTAGACAGAAGAACTTGACCGTGGGGCAAAATGACTTGGTTTTGTTTTCCTAAGACCTGGGGCTTAATTTCCAGTTTTACTGAGCTTTCACAAGGACATGAAAGAGGAATGAGACAATTGTAGAAATGCTGGGATAATGACAGAAGATAAACATATCAATGCTCCTATGTAGTCTCACATAAATGCCTGCTTAAAATGCAAGTTGGAGATAGAGAGAATGTAAGAGCTAAGGTTGAGAAGGCCGCACTGGAAAGCAAGGAAGTGCTAAAAAATCATGTACTATTTTAGTAGCATGTTTTCCAGTGGATACAGGCCTGTAAGCTTTAGCAAATTGGTAGTAGAGTGGAATCTGGGGACAAATAAATTCAATGGATTTTAACATTGATAAGGAAAATCATTCATAGAAGTTTGTATAATGCATGATAGATTTGAATTTGTAACTGGTAAATATCTTTTAGGACTGGTTTGGGGTTTTTTGTTTTTTTTGAGTTCTTTTTCATAGTTGTGGGGTTTTTTTGTTTATTTTTTTAAAGTTGTTACGACAAAGAGAGTGTTAATCTATGGAAGTGCCATGTCTTTCTAATCTTGATCACATAAAACACTCTGACCTAGATTTTACTTGTTTACATTCAGTTCCAATAACTACTTTTTTTAAAATCATGTCTAATCTTGGAAACCTGTCTATATGTAGAGGGTTGTGCATTTGTTTGTAATACTTAATTCTTCAATAGTTATGTATAACAAGCTGTGTTTCTGTGCCAAGCTGTGGCTTTGGGGCATGGTGGGAAGAAAGGGATGGTAAATGGGAAATTCCTGACTTCTTGTGTGCCAGCTTCTCAAGCTGCTTTATCTGTTTTAATCCAAAAGCAGTCCTTAGAACTGAAGTCTAATCCCAAAGCTGTGTTGATGCAAATGATTTGTGTGACAAAAAGAACCACTTGTGCTAAGAAGGATAAAAAAGTGGACCTCAAGATGGATTCTGTTTTACAGTAGCTGCTTAAGTATGTAAACTTGGTGTTACTAAGAAGAATGAGAAAGTCTGTGTCTGGCATTGAATAATCATAAATGGTTTTTGTGCTGTTGTTTCTTTCCAGATTTGAACATGGAATTCAACCCATCAGATCATCCACGGGCCAGTACGATATTTCTCAGTAAATCACAAACAGATGGTAGGTTACTGAATTTATTGCAGTAGTTATCTCTAAACCCTTGGTTAGAATGCATGTGACAGTCCTTTAATAAGTAATGGCCCCCTCTCCCCCAAAAAGAGGCATTTATATGTATCATGTTAGAGTTTTAAGTAGTCACACCTTTAGCTAATTGTCTTGTCAGATCGGTAGTACAAATGTGGGTGAAGCTTAATATAATTGTATTTTAAACATATTTTCTCTAAATCCAAAATTTTTTGTGTAACTGTTTCTTAATTTTTTTTTTAACTCTGAACATTAGGCTTCTGAAAAATGTGTAGAAAATATTTTTTTAGAAAATGCCAGTTTATATTAGCTAAGAAGACATTCCAGGCTTTCTCTGATATAGATTATACTGTAAATGAGTTCAGTACTAGATTGTCTTAACAAAATAACTCCCATCCTACCCAAACATTCTGTCTTCTTCTCCTCTTGTTATGGATTTTATATAATCATGTTGGTCTGGAGTTTAGGTGGTTTTTTTTATACATAGACAAAATGATCTTTAAAATTAATATTGGTTAAACAAGCCTCCTGATAGAGTTAGTAGAATAGAAGCCATTTACTGTGGCTCTTTTGTTCCCTGTTGGACATGTATGATATGTTGGTTTTGAAATAAATGAATAATGGATACAAAACACATTATTTTCTAGCAGGACTTTCAAAGCAATTCCTGAATTTTAATTCTGACTGTTCATCATGAATTCTTTGTCCTCCTTTCTGCTGCCTGTAAATGCTGCTTTTGATTTACATAGTAAATTGCAGTGTCAAACACATCACTTGAAAAATAATGCAGTTTTCACTTGCTGCATATTTTTTGCTAGTTTTTGGGCATGACTAGAACAAAGAGGATATACATTTAGACCCTAATTGAAGAGTTGATTATGTGAGTACCTCCTTTGACCTTGAGATTGTCCTTCTGAATTCAGCCCTGGTTCTTTCAATGCCTCATTATTTGGGTTTGGATGCCATTTACCATACTAATCTGGTTTGGTAGTCTGGCAAATGAATATGGTAGTATTTCCATAGTTGTATTATGAGGATTGATGTCTGTTTTTAGTGAATTTGCTGTGTTTTGAAACTGTCTAATCCCATATGGATGCTACTTGTTTCTTGTTACAGCTTGTTGAAAGAAAGGACAAAATAGACCCAAGTTCAACAACTAAAATTTTGACCAGACTGGATGATTATTCTTACTTGTAATAAGAGCAGTTGAGTTATTGCAATATGGAGTTAATTTTAATCATTTTATAAAAATCTTTATACCTGTGCTAGAGTTGGTCTATGAAGCTTTGTTCTAGTTTAAGTAACGTGAAGAACATTATTTTGAGTAAGAGCAATGAATTTAGGGCAATGTTATGGAAGTGTTATCAATGGGAGTGTAAGATCTGTTCAGCTGTCCTTGATGCACTGGAAAAAATACAAAGGCTATTTTGTTAGTATAAAAATAAAAGGATTCTGCAAACATTTATCTACTGATGTGTTGGCAAGAACCATTGTGTTCTGGTACTAAGCATTTTGCTTGGCTGTACTTTGGGCCTCTTGTTGAACCAAGTGAGCTGTAGGAGTTACCACACTGTTCAAGGGTGTTGGCTAGCCAAAATGCAATAAAGTGCTTGTTAAGAGGAAAATAGAGGGATTTTTTAGGGCATGTAGGGTTGTCATCTAGCAGGTTGCTGTGGAATCTAGGGGACCCCCAAGACTTCTTCAGGTGATGCAGAAGAGGAGAGCTGAGTTGTGTTGAAAACAGCTAAGTTGGACAAATAACTGCTCCATTACTTGAATAGTATTGGGCTGGTAAACCTTCCTGTTGACTGTAAGTGAAAATATTTCTATAGATAAGACCTGTGGACATTTAAAATGCACATTATACAATACACAGAAAGTGAAGTAGCATCAGGATTCAGGGTTTCTTCCAGGATCTGTCTCTGGCTGTGAGCATACATCTCACAGTTTTACAGTGGGAAATGGCCAAGTCCATCACTAGGTGCTAGAGTGACTTGGAGATGTTACCTTCAGACAGTTCCATATCTGGCTTTCTAGTAGCCCTGTGCTCTTTGAGCCTCACTGGTAGTCTTTTGGCATTCCTCTGTTACAAGAGATGTGTTTGATCTGCTTGTGATCAACATGTGAGCCAAGAGCAGCAAATAGAATGAGACAGGATGTGGCATCTCGGTTTATTACGTGGTCTCTAATTGTCTTTGTTCTGTGAAGCCTGGATGCCATGCTAAGCATGTAAATTTTCCTGCCCTCTTAGTCACTAGTCTGAATGAATCCTTAATTACCTGAGCATTCAATGAATCTGTAGAAAAGTTAAAGTCACAATAAGTATTAATTTGATTCCTGGCTAGGTGAGATTTTCTAAATGTTTCCATCTCTTTTGGGGATTTTCTAGGTACTGAATGATATGTGTGGAATTCTTTCTATTTAGGGAGCTGGTACAGAGTATTGCTTGTTATGTTTTTAGCTTCTGTGAGTGCCTTATGCAAGTTCTCCATAATCTGCTGAACTTGGCCAGTGAGCTGTGGGTGACTAGAAACCAATTATTTAGTGGGTTTAATTATTTAGCACTATTTAGGGTGTGGATGTGGTTAGCCCAGGGTTTCCAAACATCACTTCAACAATGGAACTGCCTTTTCTTCATGGTAGCAGGAAGGCAATGTTTGCTCCTCCAGGGTGCTGGTAATGGTGTTTCCTGTCAGTGCTTCCAGCTGTGCCCCTCTCCTAACTTAAATTTTGCTTTACACTTTCAATGTACTGGCTAAATTTTGCAGTAAAGTCTGCAGTGCAACAATGGGCTTCAGACAAAAAAAGATTTTCAAGTTGCATTTTTAGGCAAACAGAAGTGGAGTAAGCTGCTTTTAGTCTTTAATATTAGCTGGGAGCAGTCTTCTGAATTAAAACAAAAATAGATGAGTTACTAACAATGGTTGGTAATTCCAACTTCCAAAACACAAGATGTGTAATCCTCAAGAATTTTGTTTTTGATCCTGATATGATTAACATTAAAATAAGTGTATAGAAATGGCACAGTGAAAGTTTTTATTACAGCACAATGAAAAATACGTATATACATACATGTACACATCAGTGCCTCTGTGTGTATTTCCTCACTCCCTTTTAATTTCAGAGTACTTTACTCCTATTGCAAAAGCTCAACAATAAAAGTTGAAAGTGTCTGCAGCAATAGAAATAAGTCATCGACTGTAGAATGAGGAAAACTGAGTCTATTTGGCAGCATCTCAGGCTCCACTTGAAGATTTCCATTACAACTTTGAAGTTTTATATTGTTTTAAAAAAAGTAGAAGTTGAATTGTTTAGACTGACTCAAAATCTGTTTGACTTCACATCATCAAAACCCCATGCCTGAAACAGAAAATCCTGGAGCTGCAGTTAGGAGTTTATGCTGCAAACACTGGTTACTTCTAACACGATGGTCTGGCCTGCTGCAGACCATGCTGAGTTGCGTGAGCAGCAAAGCGTTTTTAAACTGACTGAAGGCAAGTCATGGAATGACTCTTTACAGTCATTTTGCCCTGTGCAATAATTGGCTTCCCCTTGTTTAAAATGGGGATTGTGATTACAAAAGAATGGTTGTGACAGAATGGGTTTCTACTCTGCTTGACTCCCCACTGGATGTGTTCTGGGGAGAGGTGAGCCTTACACTATGGCAGAGTGAGCCAGAAGCACAGAAAGAAGCATCTGCCTTCCTGAAATGCCTCACCTGAGAGGCCAGGCTAACTGAATTTCTGTTATATGGGGAGATACGGAAAGGAGCTCAGCAGGGTGCTTGCAAAGATGTGCACAAGAAGTGCTTGAGCAGGCAAAAGGGAGGGGTGTGTATAAATATGTTAACATATTCTTCTGGAGACTGGAAATAGCAGATGGGATTGAGCTGTGAGTGACATTCTTGCTTTGGATAGTAGAGGATTGTACCTTCACAGGGGTTTGAATATGGGATACAAATACAGAAGAAAAAAACTAAGGGGAATAAAGGTCATTAAAATGGAATTTGGAGTATATGTGCCAGCTGTCTCAGTAGGATTTGAAGAACTTTGAATGTGGTATAATTATTTGTGATTAAAATTGTTAAATACTTAACTGTGTTCAAAATTTCAGTTAATAGGTGTTAACTTTGAGTTAAGCACTATAGCAGGTTTGCACACAGCTTATCAGAATTGTTTACTGCCTGTACATTGCAATATGTGATACTAGACAAATACTTCTGCTGTTCTTAGCAGTACCTACCATCATTTTGTTGTTCCCCTGTAGATGTCTTACATGTTTTGCTGGTGATAAATGCAGTGTGTGGAACGCAAGTGTAGTGCAGTGTTTTAGCAGGATTTCAAGCAGTTTAACAATTTACTAGATCATCAGAATTTTTCTGCTGTTCCTGTTTAATTCTATTTCTTATACAATGTCCGTAATTGTGGATTTGAGCATATTCTAAGTGACATGGCTAACATCTGTCATGTGTGATTCTCCTTTCTGCTCCCTGGGAGGAAAATTATGTAAGGATTTTTCAAAGTTTTTTCTTATTTTTTTTTCATTTTATGTCTGCATTAAACACAATTATTTCACAGTATTCACACATACAGCCTTGTTTATGTGAGATTGCTTGCTTATAATAAATCACAGATAATGGCTTCTCATCCAACAGGGAATGGACAGGCTATCCTACCATTGTGAACTCTTATTTTGCTAAGTGCATTGGTTTGCATAGCGTTCAAATCATGATGCACCAAAGTGCATTTAATCACCTACAGCATGCAACCATTATTATTTTAATCCTGCAGTTTGATTTATGTGGTAGTTGCCTCCAGAGTTGTATCCTAAATGCTGTGGTATTTTCACTGGAACAGAGCTCCGCAGGCTCTCTATGGGGTGAGTTAATTGGAGAAGTGCTTTAAAAAATGAAATAGAGTATGTATAATCAGCTGTAATAAGCATTTTCCTGACAATTAAGACTTTATACATCTATCTCCCTTTTTGTTGCTATTTACTTTCTGACTGTTTTGGCTAATTGTGGCTTTGACTTGCAACCATTGCTTGTGGTGACTGGTTCATACTCACCAAGGAAATAGATTTTCATTCTTACATCCGACATGAGTAATAGTTTCAGGCTTGTGCCTGATCATTATAGGAGGCAGTGGTGTCATCCATACGGTTTCAAGATTTCTCTGTGGGAGTTAGAGCACAGTAAACTGTGATAAGAATTTGCTAACTCCATGGTCTAGCTGTTTAGGTGCTTTCATACCTGCAAAGTAGTGTGGGCCACTTTGCAGCAAGGTACCTTGCATGAAGGCACTGGTGGCTCAGGAGTACCCACACAGAGAACTGGGGAAGAATGGCCAAGCCACTGCTACCTTGGACTGCAGCTTACTGCATATTAGCTTGCCCATGTGGACCAGCACCTGGTGAAGTATCCAAATGGATGAGAATTTTAACCCATCACCACGCTAGTGACCATAAATGCCTTTATGCATACAGATATGTGTTTCTTCTGTGTTTGCTATATAAATATACTTGGTTAGCGCAAAAGCAATTATAATGTTGCACATAGATAGTCTCCTGTTCTTTTTATTATAAATGGTGTATAAGAAGCTTAATCGGGAAAAATAGTCATGTAATATTTCTATCATATTTTGTGTTTTTGCAGTGAGAGAAAAACGCAAGAGTCTCTATATAAACCACGTAAGTGAAAATGCCTCGCTATGCAGCTTTCTCCTTGTTGTCTATATTATAAATGAGAGTTATCACACGTGATTTCCACATTGCTGAGAGGGTGCTTCACATGTTTGTTCTGCATCAGGATCCTGAAGTGTAGGCCTTGGCTGTTGAGTTAGTGAAACAAATCTGTTGGTTTGAAGACAGCGTTATGCTCACGACCAGTGTGTGTAGGTAACTGGCATCTGGGAAAAAGAGCTGCACACATTGGTATGATTTTTAAAATTACTACAGAATCTCTTATAACTTTAGATTACATTTGTATGCAAGTTTGCATTGGCAGGGAACTACTGCATTAGATATTTACACAGTTGTTTTGAAGTGTTGATGCAAGGTAAATGTGAATTGACATGTGCTACATGCTGAGTACGAAGGCAGGGGTTTGATATCATTATGTACCCTGGGCATTTTTCAATTCAGTTCTCTTCTGTTTGAATCAAATTCTCAGTGAAACTGAGAGCAAATACCCTGTAGCCTGCTTTGGGTACAGGACCAGGTTCTTCACCTCAGTTAGCATTGTTTTTACTGCTGAAGCACCTGGAACCAGTGTGGTTCCAAGTGTGTGAAGCCTTGTGCTGAAATATGTGGAGTCATGGCTCAGTAAAATTGAGAAAGGAAAGAACTAATTGTCTACCAAATGCTATTTGCCTTTAAGGTGAATGGGGAGAAGCTCTCAAGTTTTTCTCTATCTGGAAATATAAGCTGTCATTTTATTTTTATAGCACTACAGCTGCTGAAACAAACAGATGTGGTTTATACCCACTTCATCTCTGTGCTGAGGTGGACTCTTGTCTAGCTTCAGATAAACTGGATTGGGGCACAAATGCAGGTGGATTCAGCTGAATGCTAAAGTGGGGCTCCTAATTGTGATTTACTGCAGGCTCACACCTGCAGAAAAGGAGGGAGCCACGAGAGCAGGAATGAGCTGCTGTGTGGGGTGAGAGGGCAGGACTGCTTCACTTGTTGATAGAATGGGTTGGTGTTGAGTATTTCTAAAACTACTGCATGGCTTTCAAAGCAAGCTGAAATTTTCAGTTTCCCAAGAGATTCTGAGAAGTCATGGGATACTGTGAGGCTTACAAAACCCTTAAAGTTGCCCTCACTAGGTTAGCAGATGTTCTTGGTCCTCATCTTCTATTCCCCTATAAAACATTCCCATTGTTTGTAGTGCATGTGAGGCTAGTTTGCAGAGCAGTTGTCTTGTTATAAAATTACTTGGAAAGCCAGTGTACTGGGTTCCTGTAAAGTTTATAATGTGTGCTCAGTACCAACAATTTCATATGTGAAAATTGTGTTGTGAGTTCTGATTCCTCCAGCAGATTAACAAAGATGACTATTACAGATGCTGCTGGAAGCACCCTATTGCAAACCCTGGTATAAAGTGTTTTTAGGTTAGGCTGGACATACTGCAGAAAAGGGAAGGGTGATCATATCACTGAGGAGTTGTGTTGTTGGGAGCTCACTGTAGCATCATATGCAGTTGATGTGCTAAGTGCAGTACCTCTTCTTAATTTGTTTTGGTTTTTTCCCCCCAAGTACCATTCAAAATATTGGCTGAGGTTGCAGTAGTATAAACTTCCCTCAGTGGTTTACTGCTACCTTAAGTCTTTGTACTTATAAAGTACTTCTTCTGAATGACGAAGCTAAAAATAACCTTTATGAGGCTGCAGTCCTTGTTATGTCTGTGTCTTTACGGGTCAGTTACGCTTTTTAGGCAATACTCATAGATAAACTGTATTTTCAAACATGTCCTGTAATATTTTAAGTTGTTTCTTCAGTGCACCTATGAGTATTCATTCAGCACCTCCTAAATCTTCAGTGTGTTAAACCTGATGTACAATCTGGGTGATCATTTTTGAAGGGGTAGCTGTGACTTGTAACTGGAAACAGTGTTTACATTTTCTGGCTGCAGGGAACCATAATGTTTTTTCTAGACCACCTTGTTGGAAGAAATTGAAGGAATTATTTAGATTTAACAGTTGTATGTGACAAATGATGGGTTTTATTTGCATGGCACAATGGTTTATGATATACTCTATAGATTGATCAATTCTTTTCCACTGTTTCTGAGTGTGTACTAACAGGAGCTATTGCTACTCATCTGTTTCCCTGTTGGTGTGAAGTGCTGGGTCCCCACATCTTCTCTGGAGGAAACATTCCAGAGCACATAAATTCTGTAGTGTTACTATTTTGTCTTTTTTTAAAAGAACTCCTTACCATAATGCAGCACTTTTTTCTTTTGTGGTTTTTCCATGGTGTCATCTTTTTCATTTTTGTTTTTCATGCTCATTCTCCTTTTGTGATAAATAACTAAGATGAGCAACAAAATATTTTTATCTTTTTGTGCAGTATCTGCATAACTGGTTATTTTGCAGGCAGGGTTGAATTTCTCCCAAGTGATATGGGGAGCTGGTTAGAAAGAGAAGTGTCAAGAAAAACTGGGTGGGTTTTTTTTAACTGCTTGCCAAATTCTGTGTAGCAACAGATGAGAATGATGAACAAAATGTAGTTTTGAAATATTACTTATGAAAAAAAAATTAGTATTGTCTCTACCTCATTTAAAAATGCACTTTCTTAGCATGATCACACCACTGTTCTTTTCCTTTCTCGCTTGCTTTTTTTTGGTAGGATATTTTATTTGCCTGAGTAGTTTCCTGTGATCCCCAAACACAAATGGTGGGCTCCTGCTTTGATTTGTTACACTTTGTCAAGAGCTGACAGTTGACATGTTTCAGATTCACCTTGTCAGTCGGTGTGACGGAAGAAGCCAGCAGCTGCTCTTTTTTTTGGGGTGGGAAAAGAATGAAAGGAGGGAGTGAGAGTGCTATGGAGGAGCTGCCATCTCCCAGTCTTCCCACAGAGCCCAAGGACGCACGTGACAGGTTGGGAGTGATGGTGGAAGTTCCTACCTCCAGTGTACCTGATCTGTTTGCTTTCTTCCAGCCTGTTTTAATTCCTAAGCAGCAGACTCTGCTTCTCTTTCCCATTGCACTAGCAGCCGCTGTTTTTTGTTATTTTATGGTTTTTTAATGCTGCCTTGGTGTGCACATGTCTTTTAATCTGCTTAGTCAAGCTGCTGAGAGGGATAAAGATGCAGACTGAGATAGGGGCATTTCCTTTCTCAGAGAAGAGAGATTGCATCAGTGTCTCTGCCTGTACAAGGAAAGCAAACAGGAAGACAGACACGTTTTGTGTTTTTAGAGGAGGTGGAGAAAGAGTGAATCTTTTATTATTGTTGCAGTAGGTAATTCTTTTTACTGTGTTTTTTTTGTAGAGGAAAGGAGTAGGGCGAGGGGAGAAAAGAGGTTGTTTTCTCTTCCAAGTTTTTCTAGAAATGTTCCCTTTCAGACAAGGAGAAAATGCTCTGTTAGCCCAAGTAATTACTTCTCTTCTAGGCAAGATACACATAAAATGAATCTATGTATAGGAGCAGTAATACCCTTTAAAAAGAAGGGATACCCCTTAAAAATAAGGGATGAAAGGAAAATAAGGAAGATAAAGGGTAAGAAAAGGGAAAGAAAATAAAAGGAAGTAATGTCTCACTTTTGCATATTTTTTATTCTGGAGACTCTTTGCCAGCCTTACGTCCTTTCATCATTGTCTTTTCTAGGGATCTGGACATGGCTTGCACTGTTTGCTACCTGGCAACTGGATGTTAAATTCCAGCAAACTAATACTGTTTTTATCATCCCAAGTAGAACAGTTAACATGTATAAACCAGACTTTTTTTTTCATTATCCTGGGGAAAAGTTACTGGGCAACACCCATGTCACAACCCTGGTCTTTATAAGTGACCCTGTGGTGGGTGCTTCACATCAGGGGGAGCTTCTCCCCAGACACAGTACTGGGGACTTGCAGAGAGCAGCTGGGTCTTTTGCTGTACATGTTGAGGCAAGAACAATTTCTATGAGCCTTTTTGCATGCTTGGAATGATGTATGGCACTCCTATGTAGCTCCCAAATTTTCTTGTCAGAGATTGAATAAAGAGGCTGTTCTGCTCCCCTGTTCTAAAACTACTGGACATGTGACTGATAATCAAACACTCTCAACTAGTGATTAATGAGTAAATAAGATACATACTGAAATGGGAACATAGTCTGAAAAGTAGTTTAATCTGTGAAAGCAAAGCACAACATAAAACATGAAATGCTGTTTTCAAGTAGACTGCCTGAGGCTGGCTATTGTAAAGGCTTATAATTGCTGTCCAAATTCCTGAAGATATTTTAATTGACATTCCTTACTTGAAGGGAAGAACAAAATAAACTGAAAGATAGATTAGAGGCTTCTCAGGTGCTCTTGAAGTTCTCCTAGAGATTGCTTAACGTGGCCTTTGCTCCTCTCCGTTGCACAATCACAAAAAAAGCAGGTCTAGAGGGGGCCTTTAAAGGCCACCTGGGCAATTTAGCAGATTCCCTACACTGATGCCATTCCTAATAGATGCAGCTTAAGATTCTTTCCAGGCATCTAGTAAGTTAAAATTAGCAGGTTTTCTTTAATGGCTTACCTAAATTTACTGTTTTAAATGTGTTTTTCTAAAGTCTTCTAGTTAGCTTCTTTTCCTGTCTTCTAGGGTGAAGAATTTTACCTCTCCTGTCAGCCTTAAGGCACTAAGTTATATGAAGTGATAAACTTTTTTACAGGGAGAAGCAAAAGCTAACTTTTGAGTTAGAATGAGAACATGCCTGACAGCTTTTTTACGAGGGGCTATGTAATACTTGCTTTGCTGGGAATGTAATAAAGTCCCTCTGGTGAAATTGCACAACAGTAGCAATTACACGCTTTGTAAATATAAGCCTTTGAGCTGATTTTAACAGTCAAAGAAATATTTAATCTTTCATGTTTGTAGAGCAGGGTGCTTTATCAGTGGTTAAATAGGACCTGCATGTGCTGCAGAGCAGTTTATTGGTGGTTCTGAGCTCCTCAGGAGCTCAGTAGCTTGCTGACATAATTTTCTGTAGTTGACATGA